GCCGGGGGTACCACCAGAGTCAGCGGACTCCTCAACGGGGACAACCGACGAGAGGGGAGTGACGTGAGAGACACCAGACGGGGCAGGACGAGGCGGAAGGGGAGAAGGGGCTACCGGGAGAGAGGGAGCAAGGAAAAGGGGGGGGGCAACCGGGAGACCTCGGTGAGGGAAGCGGCGGTAGAAGGAGACAGACTCGTCAAAGGTGACGTCACGAGAGTGGAGAAAGCGGTGAGACGGCGGGTGGTAGAAAAGCCAGTCAGACGAGTCTAGGGGGAAACCGAGGAAGACACAGGGGACAGTGCGGGCAGTGAGCTTGTCCGTACCAGAGGCACGAACGTGAGCAAGGCAGCCCCAGACATGGAACGCAGACGCGTCACCGGGGGACCCGGTCCAAAGGAGGGTCGGCGAAACCTGCGGCTGCTGGGAGCGGGGCCACAGGTTAAGCTGGTGAGCAGTGTAGCGAACAGCGAACGGCCACAGAAAATGGGGGGCATCGGCATGAATCATGGAGGTACGGACGACCTCCATGACCAAGCCGATGCGCGCTCAGCAACCCCATTCTGCTGTGGCGAGTCCGGCAAGGTTTACGACTGGGTGATGCCCTCCGCACGACAGAACTGTCCAAGCCGACGTGAGGCGAACTCGTCGCCACGGTCAGAGTGGAGACACAATACGGGGAGAACGTGGTGAAGACGCGCAGCCACAACCCACAGGAGAAGAACGTCGGGCACGTCGGCCTTCCGCTCTAGGGGAAACACCGTGGTGTAGCGCGTGTAGTCGGCGACGAGCACAAGGAAGTAGCGCTCACCGCGCGGTCCGGGGACGGGGGCAGGGCCCCAAACATCCAGGTGCAGGGTCTGAAGGGGGGCAGTAGCCGGGCGCAGCGAGGAGGAGTGTGGGGCACGGCGGAGCCGGCCCTCGACGCAAGGCGTGCACGGTGGCGCAGTCGAGGGAGGAAGGGCGGGGAGCGACACAGGGAGACCTAAGACGAGACTGTGCTGGGACATGTGACACAAACGAGGGAGAGCAGGGTGACCTAAGCGGTGGTGCCAGAGAAGGGACGGGTGAGTGAGGGAACGACACGAGCAAGCTGCAGCAACCTGGGAGGACGCACCAACCGGAGGGGAAGCGGTGTCTAGGGTAAACAGACCGGACACCGGGTCCCGGGGGAATGTCGCAAGGGAGGAACCTAAGACAGCCTCAGAACAGACAGCGAACCGCTCGTGCCCGGGGAACGTGGTGGTGACGCCAAGGTCCTGGAGACAGCCGACACCAACCAGGTTCCTCGAGAATGAGGGAACGTGGAGGCCTGTAAGGGAGCCTGAGGGAACTGCTGGACAGGGAAGGGACGTAGAACTGCGAGCGACGACAGGACCCGCAGAGGGGTCAGCAAGAGAGACGACAGCAGGCGTAGCAAGCGGCGTGAGCGCGGAACGGTCGCGGAAGAAGCAGGGAGAAGCACCGGAGTCGAGAGTGAAGGACAGCGCAGCAGTGGCAGGGGCAGGGAACGGAGCTGGTGCAGAGACGAGGCTAGACAAACTAGGCAGTCCTACACCTAACGCAGCAGGGGAGGCTAGGCTACACAACGGTGCAACACCTAAACTAGAGAACACTGGGTTATAAGATCCAGCAACACTAGTAGCGTCAGAATACAAGGCATGCAAAGCAGCACCTATCTGATCCATGTCTAACTCAAAGATCGGAACGCCCTGGCGGAGCAGGCTGTGCCAGTCAGGGAGGTCCGGGGCCGGGCCAAAGCGACGACGAAAGAGATCGTCGAGGCGGCGGAAACAGCGGGCAGTCGGGTGCGGGCGGCGGCACAGAGTGCCGCGAAGGGGCCCGGTCTGAAGCTGGTACTGACAGGTTACAGCACCGAGGCCGCTGGTAAACGCCAAGCTGCACGGGCCGCCACCACTGCCACCACCTCCGGAGGTGCCGGGCCAACCAGGCGGGAGGCGAGCCCACTGCTGCGGGGGATGCGGTTGGGACGGCGGCTGCTGCTGGGACGGCTGCTGCGGCGCGGGCTGCTCCTGCTGCAGCTGCGGCTGCTGCTCCTGACCACCAATGCTAGTCCCCCCAGACGGACTACTCTCACGACCACCACCACCACTACCTGCGCCACCACCCCTACCACCCTGGCGACCACGGCCACCGCGGCGCGACTGTTTCTGCGGGTGGACCACAGCAGCCGTCTCAGTGAGGGGGGTCGCCGTGGCGACCGCAGCCGAAACGTCAGTGAACGTGCACTGGGAGGGGGCACAGCTGTGAAAGATAGAGATTGCCGGCGCACCGCTCGACTGAGCGATAGTGCGCTGGCGAGTCTCGATCTCGGTGAGGGTGTCGACACAGGCAGTGAGGGTGAGGTCAGCTGGGTGCAGGCTAAGGAAGTGATCGCGAGCACTAGCGAGGCGGTCTGGCAGGCGCATGGCGATAAAATAGAGTGTCATGCATAAAAGGGGGGGGAGCGTAGTGAGCTGGGTAGCAGTGCTGGCAGTGCGATAGTGGGTCTCTAGGACACGAAGGTGAGCGGCAAAGTCTGCGACAGTAGGGAAGGCTGCGAGGTCTGGGAACAGCATCGGGAAAAGCAAGCGGCCAGCAGAAGCAGACGCGGGTGTGGAATAGCAGGCAATAATGGCGTCTAAGTAAGCTTTGGCCGTATCAACAGTAGCAAAGCGCGAGCGCTCAGAGACAGGGAGGGCGTGGCTAATAGCAACCTGAGCGACTGCATCGCGGGAGTCCCAGACAGCGCAGGCAAGTGCAGCAGTAGAGAAGGTCTCACGGGCATCAGAGGAGGGGTCAGCAGGGAGGGGAGCAGGTGCAGGGGGGCGGGGGAGCAAACCGTCGACATGGACAACCAAAGAGTGGCCATCCTGGCGCTAACCTGTAAGGTGGCGGCGGAGGTCAGAGAGCCAGGCGGCGAAGTCAACCGCGTGACCCTCGGCGTCCAGTCGGAGTACGAAATCAGCCATCGTGCAGGGTCAGCGGCACCGCTCCACTGCGCTACAGGAACACAGCTCCGCAGGAACACAACGGGAGCGCCCTCCAGCACAGCGGCCGCAAACGCGCCCCAGCACGGGCGAGCAGGCACGAAGAGGGGCCGGACGGTCAGTCAGGGCGGCCAGGAAGGCACGGCGGGGCCAGGCAGGTGCGGCAGGGCCAGGAGGTGCGGCAGGGCCAGGAGGTGCGGCAGGGCCAGGAGGTGCGGCAGGGCTAGGAGGTGCGGCAGGGCCAGGAGGCGCATCAGGTCCAGGCAGGCGCGGCGGGGCCAGGCAGGGGCAGCGGGGCCAGGAGGCATGGCAGGGCCAGGCAGGCGCGACGGGCCAGGCAGGGGCGGCGGGGCCAGGAGGCGCAGCAGGGCCATGCAGGCGCGGCGGGGCCAGGCAGCGCGGCGGGGCCAGGCAGGCGCGGCGGGGCCAGGCAGCGCGGCGGGGCCAGGCAGGCGCGGCGGGGCCAGGAGGCGCGGCAGGGCCAGGCAGGCGCGGCGGGGCCAGGCAGGCGCGGCGGGGCGAGGAGGCTCGGCAGGGCCAGGGAGGCGCGTCAGGGCCAGGCAGGTGCGGCGGGGCCAGGCAGGCGCGGCGGGGCTAGGCAGGGGCGGTGGGGCCAGGAGGCGCGGCAGGGCCAGGCAGGCGCGACGGGGCCAGGCTGCGTGGTGGGGCCAGGCAGGCGCGGCGGGTGCTAGGAGGCATGAGGGGCCAGGAGGGGCGCGACGGGCTAGGAGGCACACGGGGCCCACGAGACACGAGGGGCCCAGGAGGGGCACGACAGGCTAGGAGGCGCGGCAGGGGCTCAGGAGGGGTGCGACGGGCTAGGGGGCACGACAGGGGCCCAGGAGGGGCGCGACAGGGCCTAGGAGGCACGAGGGGCCCAGGGGGGGGGCACGACGGGCTAGGAGGCACGGCAGGGGCCCAGGAGGGTCGTGATGGGCTAGGAGGCGCGATAGGGGCCCAGGAGGGGCGCGACGGGCTAGGAGGCGCGACGGGGGGGGCCCAGGAGGGGCGCGACGGGGGGGCCCAGGAGGGGCGCGACGGGGCCTAGGTGGGGGCGGCGCGACGGGGCCTAGGTGAAAGCGCGACGGGGCCTAGGAGGTACGGGCGGAAGCGGTAGGTGGGGGGGGTCGAACCTACGGGTGATACCATGTCGAGAGGAAAACTGAACAAGTTATTGAATAGAGAGAGAGAGAGAACAAGGGTATATACCTAAGAGTGTTGTACCCTCTAAGAGGTGACCCTATACAGTCTATACAAATATGAGTTATACATATGTTTGACACCATGGTGGCACAGGAGCTCCGCTGGCTGACCTTCTTGCTCACTGACTTAGGTGAGCGGCCTTGCTCTGCCCAAGTCCTGTACGCTGACAACAGGGTCATGATCCTCCTGTGTCAGGAGCCTCGACTTGAGGGCAGAGTAAAGCACATCTAGCTGCAGTGCTTCCTCCTGCGCGAGCTACAGCAGCGCTGCCAGGCTCGCATAGTATACTTGGCCTCCAGTGCCAACACAGCTGATATCTTTACAAAGGCGCTTGCGCCTTAAGATCATCAGCGGCACTGTGTACAGCTAGGTCTTGTTCCTGTAGCGTCTCACTTGCTAGGGCCTTGATTATGTACAGACCTTTATATATATTTTACCTTGACTGACCTTGTGGCCTCTCCTAGTGGCTGGACTAGTAGTGCCGCCCTGGTCTTTCTCTTGCCTTGGTTTGTACTTGTTTGACTGGTCTTCAGACCCTTGCCTCAGAGGTTGGACTAGTAGTGCCACCCCTGAGCTGCTTGTCTCTCAATAGACACTGCCCCTATCCAGTCTAGGGGGTGTGTCAAACACATTTGTGTGTGATGTTATAGACCATATAGGGTTGTGCCTTAGAGAGTACAGTCCCCTAGGTTATTATGCCCTGTACTCTTACATTCTAGTCATTCTTTCAGTTTGGTAAGAGGATCAAAATGAACTGCTGGTGGAGGTACTCTAGAAGGTAGATGCCAAGGAGGGGGGCTGTAGTTGCAGTTGGACTGCACAAAACCTACAGGAGAGATCACACGCAATAAGAAACGTTGTGTAACTACAGAACACGTGGAGTTTCTAAAATCAAACCATCTAGTGTCACTACTACGAATCATAGGCTGCACAGCCTATGAACTAGAACCAAGACTACTGGAAAATTACCGTACATGCTATCCGTGTCATCAGTATCGGTGACGAATGTACAGGGGTGAGCAGCAGTTAAGTAATCAACTTTCCCCTGGCAGCTTTTGTTTTGGCATGAGTGAATGCCAAGCATGGCTTAGTTACTGCCATGTCAAAAGATGTCTCTGCAGCTTCCCATGATGTCTCTGCAGGTGTTGATGGCAACCTTGGCCTCAAAACAGCTGATTGGTATCAGCGCATGCGGACGTGTTGGTTGGGGAGAATGAGGTCGGGATTCCGAATGTGTGGGTTCAGCTTCACCACATCCTTCCACTTTGTGCCGCTGCCATGCACCTTCTGCGACAAGCTCCACAGAGTGTCACCTGACTGTACAGTCACCTTGGCAGGCCTGCTCGGTCCCTTCGGCTTAGCTGCACCTTTCTTCCCCATGCCATTAGCTGCAAGCCACCTGGACCCTGCCTGCCCCTGTTTCTGGTTCCCCCACCCTCTCTTTGCAGCCTCTTCAGATTTCAGCCCCATCATGTGCACCCCTGTCAGTTTAAACCGAGGCTTTTCCACTCCACCTTTCCCCTTTGCGGCTGACTGCTCCTCATCATCCACCTCTTCCACAATCACATCCCCTTCTCTCGGCAGATTGCCCGCTCCGTTCCGCTCTGCCAGAGGCCCTCCTGCCGGCCGCACAGCCGTACCAGTGTGCAGATTATACGCAATTCTTCTCACACCTCCAGGCCCTGGCAAGGCCTTGGCGCCTCCTGCTCCTCCGCCCCCCTCCAATGCCGCTACACTACCATTGCTGTTACCCTTAGCATCAGCAGCAGCAGGGGGGGCTCGCTCTGCCTGCAGCAGAGCCATCATGGGGGCACCCACCGGCTCAAAGTTCCTCAGAGGGTCTCTCAGCTGCACCAGCATCGCCACCGTCACCTTATCCCCCATCAACCCGCCTTCAACCCCTCCTCCTGCTCCACCCAGCGCTCCCCCCATCCTCCCTCCCATGCCCATCATCCCCATCCCCCCACCACCCATCATGCCCATCTGCCCTGCATGCGCACCCCATGCCGCCAACCCACCTGCCCCCATCCCTCCGCCCATCCCTCCACCCACCATCCCTCCTCCCCTCACGGCGGCCAAGTCCGACCTCATCTGGGCAATATCATGCAGCACCATCTCCCCAGCGCCATGCGCAGTGCAGTGCGCCTGTAGCACCGCGAGAGTATCATCCTCCGTCTCAAAGTCTTCAAATATCCCCGCGTCCAGCCGCTGCCACTCGTCCACAGACACCGCCAGCCCCATCGCACCCCCCCCTGCCGCTACCATCGCCCACTCGTCCCCTCCTGCCCCCATCTCCGCCCCTCCATACATCAACGCGCCCATCCCTCCCCCTCCCGCTCCCAAAGCAGCCCTCCCCCCTGCTCCCTCGCCAATCCTCAACGCCCCAAACCCGCCCATTCCCAGCGCGCCCGCTGCACCCCGAGCGCCATCCTTCCCCAGCTCTATAGCATACGGAGCCAGCAAGTCAGTCGCGTCGTTCTGCACTCTGAGCCCCTCCAGAGCCATCCTCTCTATCTGCTCAATAGCCAGCGCCCCCAGCTCGTCCAAGGGCACATACTCGTCCTCCCCGTCCTCCCACCCCTCCTCCCCCATCAGCATCAGCTCCAACTCCATGTCCTCCATATCCTCTATAAGCACATCCCCTGCAAGCAACTGCCTCTCTCCGTTCGCTCCCTTCCCACCAGCACCACCACCAGCAGCAACAAGGCCCCCAGCAGTTCGCCTTAGCAGCGCCAGCCGCCCCTCCTTGGCCCCGCCTGCCCCAGTTGCGCCTTCCCCTGCCTCCCCCCCTCCCCCGCCCTGCTCCAGCAGCAGCTTCCGCTGCAGCTGCCTCTGCCTTGCTGCGGCTATCAGCCTGCCTCGGCGCTGCAGCCGAACCAGAGTGCCAGCCATGGCGGACTGCCGAGCCACAGCTGCCATAGCTTCGGGGGACAGACCACCCGGCATACCTACGGCCAAGCCTCCTCCCGTTGTTGCTAGCTGTCCGGCCCCTACATGCACTAGCTGCCCCCCTTGCATCCCTGCTGCTGGTGCTCCGCCTTCAAGAGCGAGGTAACCCCCCCCTGCACGCCCCTCCAGGGCCAAATAGGACTCTCCTGTTGCCGCTGCTGCTGCTGCACCAAGAGCCCTCCTGCAATGGGGAAAGGGGGAGAAAAAAGGGACCCGCCCCATTGAGGAGCAGCAGCCCCTGTGCTGCGATCATTTCCACATACCCCATAATAGCATTCACGTCCTACTAACACACAATATCGCTCACCAATATCTCACCTCTGCGGTGCGCCCAGCCGTCTCAAGTGCTCCTCGCACCCGGCACCGCCCGCCCCGTCGAGGAACAGCAGCCCCTCTCCTCAGAATTCAAGCCATGATCACATACTTGTAGTCTCGGAGTCACCAATATCTCACCTCTGTGGTGCGCCCAGCCTTCTCAGGTGCTCCTCGTACCCCGCACCGCCCGCCCCATCGAGGAAGAGCAGCCCCTCGGCTGCGATCTGCTCGAGCGCCTTGCCGCTGATGTCGGGCAGCGGCATGAGCATGTGCGCCTGCTGCGACAGCGCGTCCATGCCCAGCGCCACCATGCTCTGAATGATGTCCGCCCCCTCCATGCCCATCTCCTCTGGCACCACGACAGCACGGGAGAACTGTAAGCGGAGGAAATATGGGGGAGGAAGGGGGGCATGAGCATGTGCGCCTGCTGCGACAGGGCGTCTATCCCCAGTGCTGCCATGCTCTGAATGATGTCCGCCCCCTCCATGCCCATCTCCTTTGGCACCACCACTGCCCGGGAGAACTGTACGGATGGTTCGGGGGGGGGGGAAGAAGGAGGAAGTGGTGGGGGGGGGAGAGAGGTGTTGGGGGGGAGAGAGAGGTGTTGGGGGGGGGAGAGGGGTGTTGAGGGGGGGGGGAGAGGTGTTGAGGGGGGGGGAGAGAGGTGTTGGGGGGGGGAGAGAGGTTTTGGTGGGGGGGAGAGAGGTGTTGGGGGGAGGGAGAGGTTTTGGGGGGGGGGAGAGAGGTGTTGGGGGGAGGGAGAGGTGTTGGGGGGGGGGGAGAGAGGTGTTGGGGGGGGGAGAGAGGTGTTGGGGGAGGGGAGAGGTGTTGGGGGGGGGAGAGAGGTGTTGGGGGAGGGGAGAGGTGTTGGGGGAGGGGAGAGGTGTTTGGGGAGGGGAGAGGTGTTGGGGGAGGGGAGAGGTGTTGGGGGAGGGGAGAGGTGTTGGGGGGGGGAGAGGTGTTGGGGGAGGGGAGAGGTGTTGGGGGAGGGGAGAGGTGTTGGGGGAGGGGAGAGGTGTTGGGGGGGGGGGGAGAGGTGTTGGGGGGGGGGGGAGAGGTGTTTGGGGGGGGGAGAGGTGTTGGGGAGGGGGAGAGGTGTTGGGGGGGGGAGAGGTGTTGGGGGGGGGGGAGAGGGCATGAGCATGTGTAGTTGCAGGGACGAGGCATCCATTCCCAGAGATCAAAGGCTCCCAGTGCTCTCTACTTATGTCCGCTCATCTCCTCGCTTCCCCTCGGCCCCACCGACTTTCTCCACGGTCCTCCTTCCCCGCCCCTTCTCACCTGCATGACCGTCTCACATAAACGTCTGAAAGCCGCCTCCACGCCTCCACGCCTTGAGCCAGCTCAGACGGCGCAACCCCTCTTCCTCCCCCCAACCCTCCTTCCCTCCCTCCCCATCCCCCCCCCCCTCTTCACCCTCCTGCCCTCACCCTCCTTTTCTGAGGGTTCTTACCTGCATGACGAGGCGACTGGCGCCTTGTGAGAAGTGTTTCCCCGACATGGACGTCAAGAACCCGCCCCCAGGCAGGGCGATGGCCGACCCCATGCCTTGCACCAGCTCGGGGGGAGCAATGGAGGGCGGCACTGCGAGGTGCATGGGGTCCGTGGCTTTGAACATGCCCAGCTGCCCCAGCATGCCCTGCTCGCCGTACAGCGCCGCACTGGCGGACGCCAGCCCCGTGGCGGGGACGGTGGGGGTGAGCACGCTGTTGAGGCTGGTGAGCGCGGGGGTGAGGGAGGACGGGGAGAAGCAGGGGAAGGAGGAGGGGGAGGGCGAGAAGGTGGTGGTGGTGGTGGCGGTCATCCCACCCACGCTGCTGCGCGTGCTGATGCTGTTGATGCCGCCGCCGCTGCTGGTGTTGATGGTCGTGAACGGGCTGGACGATAGCGACCCCATGGGCATGGGCATATGCAGCCCGCCAAAGCCCGCGCCAGGAGCCAGCGCGCCCTGCTGAATGGCCGCCAAGGTCATTGGCCCTGCTACCCCTGCTGCCCCTGCTTCTCTGCCTCTCCCCCCTGCAGCCACCAAGCCTCCCGGCCCCGCCACTGGTACCATCGCCCCGCCAGCCTCTCCCCCGCTGGACCCCCTGCTGCCCTTCTCCCCGCTTGACGCGCCTGCAGCTACCAGCCCTCCCGGCCCCGCCACTGGCACCATGGCCGTGCAACCGTTTGCCTCTGCTGCTGCCGCGTCAGGGGGCGCAGGTAACGCGCCTCTCGCCCCTCGCCCCGCCCCTCGCCCCGCCCCTCGCCCCGCCCCGCTGCTGCTGCCCCGCCCAATGCCGCTCCCCCCGTGCATTTTAATCTCTATTGCCCCGCCATTTCTGTTGCTGCTAACGCTGCTGATAGTGCCTCTACCGCTGGCGCCCAGAGGCCCCATCCCCCCGCGCAGGACCGCCCGCGGAATGCCAGTTGTCACCTCCTCCACCTCTGCTGACGTGGACAGCTGCCGCCCCGCGCCCCTGCCAGCTGGCACGAGGGCAGTCGACGTAGACGACCCTCCACCTCCCTCTCCCCCACTCCCAGTCCCTTCTGCAACCTCCTCTTCCTCCCCCCACCCCTTTCCCCCTCTCTCGCGCCACCCGCCTGCCTTCTCTCTCTCCAGCAGTTTCACTCTCTCCTGCACTGTCAGCCGGCCCCCCTTCCCCCTGCCTCCTCCCGTCCCCGCGCCCAGCGTCCCCCTACCGCGGCCACTGGGCACAAGCGTGCCAGCGCTGCTGCTGCTGGTGCCTCTGCCCCGCCCTCCTAGGGCCAGCGGCCCCGCTGCACCCCAGCGCTTGCGACCAGGGGGAGCAGATGCAGCAGAAGAAGCGGAAGTGGTGGAGGCTGCGGCGGTGCTGGGCGCGCCCCTGCCTCTCCCCGCCACCACCAGCGCACTGCTGCTGCCCGCAGCAGCGGAGCCACCCGCATCACCATCCGCTGCAGCCGCAGCCGCAGCAGCAGAAGCAGCAGGAGCAGGAGCGGCAGCAGCGGATGCAGCGGGAGGGGCAAGATCTGCAGCAAAGGCAGCAGCAGCAGCAGCACCGCCAGTACCGGTCTTCCCTCGGAACTGCAGCATGAGCGCCGCCTCCTCCTCGCTCTCCAGCAGGCGCGCCTTGCGGCGGCTCTTCTCCTCGATCTCCGCCTTCTGCTGCTCCTCCTCCGCCTCCCTCACCATAAACGACAACGGATCGTCGTCGTCGCCCTCGCCCCCCTCCTCCTCCTGCGCTCCCTCCCTCCCAGCACCATTGCACATCGCCATTCCTCGCTCTCCTTCCCCGTCAAACACATCCTCTTCTTCCTCTTCCTCCTCTTCCTCTTCCTCTTCTTCTTCCTCCTCTTCCTCTTCCTCGCCTGCGAAAGACGACACCTCCCCACCCCCGTCCGCCCATTTCCCTTCCCCCTCCCCCTCCCTCTCACTCATACTCACACTGTTACTCCCCACTCGGCTCGACGCCTGGCGCGTGGGGCTCAGCAGCCCCTGCGCCACTCCCAGCAGGCCTCCGTCCACGCCTAAATCCTCCTCGTCATCCCCTTCACCGCCCATACCGTCCAGCCCACTCGCCCCACCGTCCAGCGCGCCCGAGAGCAAGAGCAGCTCCATGAACTCGTCCGACACCAGGTCCATCTCCTCCTCCAGCCCGCCCCCATCCCCTGCCCCGCCTCCCGCTTTCGCTGCATCCCCGTTATACGCGTCTTCGCAGCTCAGCACGAGGTCACCGTCGCACGCCAGCCCCTTGCGCTCGTCCCCGGGCACGAGCGCGGCTGTGTGCAGCTTCGAGTGCTCCGCCTGCAGCGTCCACTCGAACTCCCGCATCGCCTGTGCCATGCGCGACCCCTGCGACCCCTGCGACTGCTGCGACCTACCGTCGCCCGTTGAGCTCGCCGAGTCAAACGTGGTGGTAGAGGCGGTTGAAAACGCGCTGCTGGTGGCCGTGGTGGCGGCCGTGCCCGGATCCACGCGCACCGTGCGCTCAATGCTCGAGTCCCTCTCTACCGCGTATCCCGCCATCACCTCTTTCACCTCCACACCCCCCTCCTCCTCCTCCTCCTCCTCCTCCTCCTCCTCCTCCTCCTCTTCGTCCTCTTCGTCCTCCTCGTCATCGTCGTCATCATCATCATCGTCCTCCTCCTCATCTTCCTCCTCATCCTCATCATCCTCTTCTTCCTCCTCCTCCTCGTCATTTAACCCCTCCCCCTCCGCAAGAACGTCCGCCAGATCCACCGCGTCACCCTCCCCCTCCGCCTCCTTCTCCCCCACCGCCTCCCCTCCACCCACTCCGCCTGGCCCCTTTCCCCCCGCCGTCCGCGTCTCCTTCCCCTTCGCCTTCTCCTCCTCCTCTTCCTCCTCCTCCACCACCGTCCGCATCGCGCTCCCCCCGGAAATCATCCGCATCAGCGGGCCTGCGCGGGTCCCGCGCGCGTCCCCCTGGCCCCGCGCGCTCTGCGGTGCAGCGGAGCGGTCCGCCGGCGCTTGGTAGAGGGAGAACGACAGCTTTTTCTTCGTCGGCGACGCTTCGTCATTATCCTTCCCGCCGCGCGGACTGGCCTGTGGGCTCCCCTGCGGGCTGCCGGTGGGCGACACCGCAGCGGCGGCCGCGGCGATCGCGGTCGCGGCGTACAGGCGGAACGACTTCGTGTCAACTCGCGCGATGTACGAAACGCCTCGGGCGAGTTGTAACTCGTACCCGAACGTCGCAACCATGACCGCCCCCTCCGCCAACCCCGCGAGCTGGAAGCTCAGCGTCACCGGCTGGCCCTCCCTCTCGTGCAGCGCCGCGGGCAGCAGTTTCGCTAGATCCACGGAATGCCGCCCGAGCTCCGCGACGTAGCCAATCCCGGAGGGCTTCAGCATCTGCACGCAGAGCGTGGACGCCTTCCGCTTGAACTTCACCGTCCCCTGCGCGCCAGCGTTGAAGAACATGGTGCACGACATCGTTAACGTCTGCTCGAAGCGCGCCACGCCGCGGTGGACCACCATGGGGCTCGTGCCGACGGACATGCCGCGGCGCAGCCACTGCACGACGAGCTCCTTGCCCTCAAAGTCCTTGGGGAAGTTGTCCACCCCGTGCACGTGCATCGCCACCGTGCACTGCGCCTTCTTGCTCCCCACGCGCCCCAAGAGTTTGAACGGCGCGAACGTCTCGAGGAAGCTCGGCTTCTCCGGGACCTGCGGGATGACGAGGCTCCGGCTGAACTTCACCTGGTCTGCGAGCCAGGCTCGGAAGTCTACCGAGGCTAGGTTTGGTTCGTCCGCCGGTGGGTAGTGGCTGTAGGCGTGGGTGGGATGGTATAGGGTGGTCGTGCGGGTGAGGCTTTCGGACGCTTGAGCTCCCGCAAGCAGCACGCGGCTCGACTCCTTTGCGCTGATGCTACGGCCATGGAGGGCGAGGCCTGATTTCCGCTGTACTCCCACCCTCGAGTCGTCCATCGCGAGGCGCGGCGCCAATAATTAATTACTGATAATGGAGACTGCTATCCGCTCAATCCTGTTGCATTCTGCTGGCGCTACTAGGGGACTGCGTTGCTCATGGTTTGTGGGCAGTTACCGGATCTTCGAAACGGACATGCTTAGAGGGACGAACGCTGCGCAATGAGACCTCGCGGGCTACGTGAACGGAAGATAATGGGGAGACGGCGCCTACAGAGTGGTGGAACTGCCAAGGCCAACGCGAGCGCGACGAAAGGCGTCCGGCCGCAGAGTGTTTGTGACAGTGGATAGAGCCGAGGAGCAGCTGTCCCGTCCTCGTGCGTGCAATGGTTGGTGGTGCTTCCCTTAAAGAGAGCAATAGCAGCCATGGCGGGTTGGCTCTGCTCTGCTTCTTCTGGTTGTTCAGTTGGTTGCTGTTCTGCGCAGGCCCGGATGTTTCAGATCCAAGTGTGCGAGGTAGGGGACGAGTCAGGTGTGGGGAATGGTTTTGGAGTTGGTTTGGTTGGCAGGGGCTCTGCAGGTTTGTGATGTGACGCGGGAAAATGGCCAGGCTAGGTAGCAAAACTCAAACTGTGTGCTGGCTCGGCCTTGGCTCGGTGGCGAATCTCGATGACTCTTCTTCATCGTCATTCGCTGCTGCCCTTCGATGATGGCGGCTTGCAGTGACGAATCGCATCTGGTGGTTCTTTTGTCTGCCCGCAAACTACGCAAGAGCCAGTGGCAGACCAGCCACCAGTCGTTTCGTACCCCCAAGTCTCAGTTTCCGCGCCAAGGGGAGACCGAGCCATGTTCGACCTACCCAGAGCTAGAGGCCAGGACTCAATACGAACGTGAGCACATATCTCCTGTGTTGAACCTGAGGCTTGTGTGAGCATTCTGACATGTCGCACCAAAGTCTCTCAGGCAAGGAAGGCGCTTGATTATGTTCGAGATGACAGGTTTGACACCCAGACCGCCTTCTGCTTCGATGATTGCAGTTGACACGGTCCAGACCAGTGGACAGGTGGGTGCACCAGTCGAGGGACAGCTTTCGTTCATTTTTGCGTGGCGAGCGCCCTGCGGCTTGCTCGCGTAAATTTCAACACCAAGGGTCACGTGTCCTGAACAATCTCCCTAGGTGGTAACCCTGTCGATTGAAACTTTCTCTGAACGGCCCTTCTTGTCATGATCGCGTCCTAGTTTTTCTCGGCCTCCCTCCCCCCGTCTTAGTAGTTCAGCGACCTGCAAAGCGAGTTACGTGCTCGCAGAGTTCGCTACTGTCGCTTCGTTCAGACTGTTCAGTTTCGACGAGGGAGCTGGTTACTCCGTTCGTCCATAAAGTACTGTACGTCACCTTGTTTCGTGCTAGAAAACGTTTTCTGAGGGTGTGTGACATGTGAGGGTTTTTGTGAGGGAAAGTGTAAGGAGATTCCCTTTTCCTTACTGGGCTCGACTACAGCGCGTACGCCCTCGACTCTCAGAAGTCCAGCCTCGGCCACTTTCTTCGGTCCCAAACCACTTCGCTGTTAAAATTATATAAGTTAAAATTAAATATAGTAGGTTGTTACAGAACCTTTCTGTAGAGGGTACAAACCCCTCCTTGTACTCCTCTCTTCCTAATCCAACCCCTTCTTTCTCGACATTCTCTTCTACCCGCTCCTAGATCTACTTTCCTCACGCCACGCCATGGCGGCCTTCCCTACCTCCTAGCATCCTTGCTTTCCTAAGTTAACATTCGCGAACCAAAACCTCGACGCGCAGCTCTTCTGTGGCTTTCGCCAACCGAATCGCCCCAACCTGTTCGCGTGGTTCTCGGCTAGCTTTGTTCGTGCCTATAAATGCCCAGACCCTCATTTGTACCAACACTCTTGAATCACGACTCCTTTATTACACTACCTGTTATTACTCTGATTAATTCATAACAGCGGGTATCAGAGCCCTGTTCCTGCCCGCTTAGTCTTCCGTAGAGTAGTCCGATTATATCGGGAGAGGACCCGACAGAATGGAGGGTTGGCCAGCGGTTGGTAGGTGAGCTCGTTAAAGCTCCTCCAACTAAAAGCGTGTGCACCCTCAGATCTGTCAGGTAAAATTTCCAGCATGACTAGCACGCCAGAAACCTCTGCCCGTCGTAGTGTTAGGAACGTGACTCAGGAGGAGTTTGACGAGTTGCAAGCCAGGGCGGCTACAGTGACGACACTGCATGCCCAGCTTCAACAACTCGCGGACAAGTTCGAGTCGCTGGGAAGCAAAGTTCAGACACTGCGCCACGAAAACTCGTCGCTTCGCCAGGCGCGGGGTGAAACGCGTCAGGAGCGATCTGTTACCCGAGACGAAGATGCTGCGAGCGAAGCGAGGGCGTCAGCGACACCTGAAGCAGTTGAAGAAGTCCACAGCGAGCCACGGGTGGCCATTAAAATCAAGCCTCCGATGCCCCCACCGTTCAACCCGACCATCAGGACAACTACAGTGAGCGGGTGGCTGTTCGCCATGGAAATCTTCTTCACGGCAGCAAGTATTAATGACAATGCATTACGTGTCAACTTGGCTGTGTCGCTGCTGAGGGGACCGGCACTCGACTGGTGGCGCATGCATCTTGACGAGGGGGGAGCTTCGGCAGGGAATTAACGGGCGGCATCTGGGGAGATAAGTTCATCAACGGCGAAAGCAGAACCAAACTTTGGATCGGCCACGATCCGCACGTGGAAAGCGTGGGGCGAGGCGTTGAAGAGCAGATTCGAGCACATATCCATGCGCAAAAATGCTCGCACAAAGCTTCGGATGTGGAGACAGTTGGGCTCTGTCCAAGAATGCACGGCGTCGTTCCTGGCTATCTGCGACCAAATCGGTAGGATCAGCGAGGACGAGAAAATCGATCGCTACGTGGGAGGCCTCAAGCCGGAGATTCAGCAAGAAATCGTCCTGCGAGCCCCAACGACCTTCAACGAGATTGTTCGCATAGCAGATACACTGGACGCGCGACGTGGGCTCGCGAGAGCGGGTTTCCGGGAGGGAAATCGCTTTCGAGGCCAGCCCCAACACACATCAATCAACGGCGCTGACGTGTTTGCAGCCCGAGTATTTTCGGGGACCTGTTTCCACTGCAACCAGCCGGGTCACATGGTGAGGGACTGCCCGCAGCTGAAGAAGAACTTACCTAACGACAAGAAGCAGTCGGGAAATGGAGATCGTCAGTAGCAGATGGGCCACCTACTGACTTGCGTCGCCTAAACGCCACCACCCCCACCAGGTTAAAGTGCCGATTTGGGCTATCGACCATTCCTGGCTGAATAAGGGGGGTGAACCGGTTGATCACCCTATGCTGGTCGAAGGGAGAGTTGGTGACACCCGCATAAAAATATTCGTTGATGGCGGGGCGAGCCACAGTTTGATGGATGTGACGAAGGCGAAAAAATTACGATTGCAACTGGAGCGCTGCGTGCCGGAGATCAACGCGGGATTGGTCGACGGCACCCCACTGGCAATTCGAGAACGAGTACCTCATGTGCGAGTTACATGCGGCGAAAATTTCAGCTTCACGACGAAGATGCTGGCGACGACGCTGGACGGCTGCGACAAGCTGCTAGGACGCGATTGGCTGCGTGAATACAACCCGAGTATCGATTGGCGAACAGGGGACTATCGCACCAAATGGAGTGGCGAGTGGCGACGACTTCCGAAGTGGAGCACTCAAGACTCAACGACATCGACAGTCAGTGCGGTTACCATCAAACGAGCAATGATTCGCGGGGCATTGTTGTAACCGTTCGATGGCTGGCATCCACGACTGTCGACGCACCAGCCGACATCGACAAACTCTGCGCAGCTGTTCCAGACGACTTGGCGACATTGATTTGCAGGCACGTCGACATTTTTCCAGACGACCTACCGCAGGGTTTGCCACCTGAGCGAGCCCACGACCACAGAATCGAGTTGGAGACTGGCGCGTAACCGACTGTTTGTACGCAATGGAGGCTGACTCAGCCAGAGTTGGATGAACATCAACGCCAGCTGGACTACTTGCTCGAGAAAGGCTTCGTTCGCCCCAGTACTTCACCCTTCGCAACTCCGATTCTGTTCATCCCGAAGAAAGACGGCGGTCTACAAATGTGCATCGACTACCACGCCTTGAACTGGGTCACCATTAAGTCCCAATATCCTATCCCGCGTGCCGTCGAACTCATCGACCAACTTCTTGGGGCAAAATTCTTTTCGAAAATTGACCTGTGAGGCGGTTACCATCAAATCCGCGTAAACAAAGCTGACTGCTACAAGACGGCTTTCCGAACCCGGTTCGGGAGCTACGAGTACACGGTTATGCCTATTGGCTTGACAAACGCGCCTTCAACATTCCAGGTGACCATGAACGAAGTTTTTCGACCGCTGCTGGATAAATGCGTCATTGTGTACCTCGATGATATCTTGATCTTTAGTACTACCCGAGAATAGCATTTGAAGGATTTGGAAGTAGTCTTCTCTCTACTGTAGCAACACCGACTCATCACCAAAGGCTCTGAGTGCGAGTTCCTGAAACCTGAACTGGAGTTTTTGGGGCACGTTATCTCCATCGACGGTGACAAAATCGACCCGAAAAAAATCGCGACCATTCAAGCCTGGAAGCCGCCGGGTAACCTCCGCGAACTTCAAAGTTTCCTCAGGTATGTGAATTACGTTCACCGGTTCATTCCGAACATGGCGGGGGTCACTTCCCCTCTCACGGACCTCCTGAAGAAAGGCAAGTTTTATGAGTGGGGGGGAGAGCAGCAGGCTGCGTTCGACCAGCTCAAACTTTTCCTGACAACACCTCCGGTTCTTCGCATTGCAGATCCTCCCCGTCCATTCGAGCTCATCACCGATGCTAGCAACCTGGCTGTTGGCGCAGTACTGTTACAAGACTTCGGCGAAGGACTTCAACCCATCGCATACGAGTCCCGAAAGCTGAATCCGGCCGAGCAAAATTATCCTGTCCACGACAAGGAGTTACTCGCCATCGTTCACGCCTTCAAGGTCTGGCGCTGCTACCTGACGGTCGCTAATGTAAGAGTCCGAACATACCACAAATTGCTACAGTTCATCCGCGCCCAACCGACACTCAATCCCCAACAGATTCGCTGGCTCGATTATCTTGAGTCGAATTTCCACTACCGAGTCACCTACAAACGAGGGGCCACCAAAATCGCCGACGCACTAACCCGCCCTTCAGTCCATACTTTGAGAGTACGACCCCGTTCCATTCTCTTCTCCTTTCCGTATTCCCTTTTCATTTCATTCCTCTTCTTATCCTGATCCATTTAGATTCCTATTTCTCCCTTTCCATAAACCTTTGGTTTATCATGTTATTATTATTATATCACTGACCAGGCTCGGGGTGTACTGGCGCGC